TTTTTCTAAATGCAAGTACAAGTAGTTACCTAGTATGTGTGTAGTAATTAGAAATTGCGTAAAGATTACGTGATTTGTTTTTGGATAGGGTTGGTAATAATAACAAAAATCAGTTGACAAAACCTTCACCATATATTTATTAATAAAGACAATCTAAAAGATCACGTAATAGTCATTGTCTTAAAAAATTAGTTACCCTAATAAATTTATCAATATATATATATATATAATAGTTATATTTGATTACTTATTGTTTCAAGGATATGCGAAGTTATGAAGAGCCGCCCGGCGCGGGAAGGGACAGGCCTCGAGCTTTGTCGTTGTTCTTTCTAATCATCACGTTGAGTGAATAAAACAATGAATCTATAATTTATACGTAATAGTATTACACTTAGTTCTTCCAATGATTAACTATTCCACTGTTAAACCTAAATGCTTATTAAAATTTTATGCCCTAACGTCTACGCGAAGAATTGTGCTAATCTAAAGAGGTGACTACAAATTTTCATAGTATTTCAAAGACTGGTAATTTACAGAACGTTCAAAATCACAACACAGAGTGTAATATCAAATTATCGTGCATTTGGCACGTTTTAGTTTACCGTCTACGTTAACATTACTAATTTATACGTATTTAAGTTAGGTACGGTGGCGACATGACTTACGTACATCATACATAAAGATTTTCTTACACAATGAATAATTTTGCTATAGTTATAACGGACTAGTACTTAATACATTTTCGATGTTATTTTGAATTTCTATTGTATTTATTTTACTTTTATACGAACGTGGCGGCACCGTACATAACAGCATAAGGGCAGAGCAAATGTCTACCAATCTCATAGTCGTTTATTCCATACAAAATTAGAAGAATATATCCATTTAGGCTTACAAAATATTAATACTATACTTTATAACATTGTGTTGACACAAATACAGAAGTAATTTATACATATAATATGTATTTACAATTTGTGCCGTGTGTCGGGATTACAGAAGTCTAAAACTAGACAGAAGCACATTTAGTAGCCGAGAAATTATAAAACTCACAAATGATTTGGGAGTTACTTGCTAAATAAATTATGTTCGCGTTTATAAATAACACAACTCTAAACGTTTCTTCACGATTACTTTACTATGTAAATTAAGAGTAGGTATAATAGTTATGTTACTTTTTTCTCCGTTCGTCTTTTAATAAAATTGACTCGTAGTTATTTGTTATTATTTTCTGACTATGCTGTCGAAAGATGTATGCACTAAATATGTATGTATTAGTTAAGTAAAAAAACTTTATTTAAAAATAATACGTCTTTTCGATGTCCATATTAACGTCCTACTTGCACCTATGACGATATAATAATAAAATAAATTAATAAGTTAAAATAATTCATTAACAACGTTTGAACTAAATTAGCTCCATCTCACTACGTACCAACTCTGAACAGGCAAAGTGTGTGCAATGAGCCTTAGATAAATGCATTTTCCAGTGCTTTGTGCTAACTGATTTCGATTTAAAACAACACTTCAATTAAACAAAAGCCGTATATAAAAATAAAATCGTAAGGCACTTCTATATATAAATTGAAATAAGATTGTACAATGTTCGATCTTAAAGATAATTTTACTTACTAAGATTTTTGTGAGAATAATTTGTAATCGAATAGATAGAAATATATTTTATAATAAAATCAAAGATGACCGCACGTAGGTACGTTCTGAAAACGCACATCCCTCAATGAAATGTTGGCTAGTATGATAAGGGCGCGGTTACACAGCTATACCCTGACTAGTAAGACGTCTTGGCACATACAATAGGCCTGCGACTCCTTGATAAATCTACAATCAACATAAACAATTACAGTTCTTACATAGTGTTTATGTTATATTTTTGCGAAATCAATGAAGGCTTAGAGAATTTAGAAAGTACATTTCAGTCTTAATAGCTAAAAGTATTGTAAGAATTATTTCTGGAGGGACTTGTCTTTAATAAATTGTAATTTAACGTAGTAGACATAGATATATCTCCGGCACTAAAGATTACTTGAAAATATATTGAGTATTTACAAATTGGCGCGAACTGTGACCTCATTTAATTATACGAAAATAACTTTTGTCTGTTACGATACGAATACCGACAAATTAAGTACATAGTAGCCACGATAACACGTCTATAAAATAAACACTGTTTTACAATATATAAAGTTATTATTCACTTAAACCTTAAATCTGTAGACCAAATAACACAAAACAATTAATAAATCTTTCGCTATTACTTGGTTATCGTGTCTACTGGTATACGAATATATGTACTTATATAAACCTATTTATTTAGTTAGGCCCTAGAATAAAATATTCAAAATATGTTCCGAACTTATGAAATAAATGGCACAAAATTCGTAGCTGAGTGAAAGCATCAAGTCACTCTCTAAACACATGACTGGAGTTTTGATTAAAGCCTCCACTTATTCTAAAACAATCAATCTATTTTTATTATTTCACCTACGTTTATCAATATGTTAATAATAAATATACTATAAATACTTAATAAATCAATTATACTTAGATTTTGGCAAAATTTTGGCTTCAAGTTCCAACGTAAAAAAGTTAACGGTTGAATACATTTGCCTACATATTGTTAAGATAGAACACAACCAAAGAATCACACAAGTTAGTGATACAATTACGTAGCGTATAAATTTTGCAATTTCACCTTAAATATAAAAATCTAGAACGACTTTACATTACCAAAGTCAATTCATCTTTGGGTCTTATTTTGGCAGAAGTTCGCTCAGGTACTAGTAGAAGGAAAATGAATCAATTGAGGCTTCAAAATTTGATAGCGTTACACGCATTTAGAAAAACGTTAATCTAACGAAAGTTTAGTAAACAACATTTAAGTAAATTTAAGATACAAACATGTCTTTTATGTGAATACTGCCCAAAACTAAAAGCTAGGTGTTAGAAGATACGTAGAAGATATCTCGGAAGACAGAGAGCGAGTTAAGAGTTCACAACCACAAAAACTGTTATAAGAGAAGGATTTAGCGGGATATAGAGTTCCGACTACAGGCAGTCATTTAACTATAGACACAACATGTTACTAATAATATATTTGAGCAATTACACTTATTGCTCGATTTGTACATTGAATTTTTAAATTATAGACAGTTTACATCGAAACAATAAATAGTACATTTATCACAACACGTAGTTACGAGTAAACATTCAATTAGTATTACAAATTACATTAGATAATTTATATGAAACAATGTAATCTATACTCAGACATAAAGTGAGACTCGAGTACTAAACAATAGAAACACTATTAAGAAGAATCAACAAGGAACTAGATAATAAAATTATCAACATAAAATATAGAATATTTGAGCATATCAATAATATTGTGTAAAAAAATACTATCCCTTCTTTTGTAATTAATGCGTCAGCTTCTGTGAAAGTATAGTAAGACGAAAGCATATTTTAAGTTTTCTTCTAACTTAAAACATTTATTATCCGGTTTATGTTCAATAATAGTTTCGTTCTCAGCAAGGATTCGTTATCTCGTATTAAGTTCTGATATATATTATATATACAAAAATATTTCCACTACAAACTATTCGTTCGGCAAACTATTATAACTAATTCATCTTAAAAGAGAAATTAAATCTTTGTTTTTTTGTTAGTAACAAGTATTTTGTTTTATAAATGATCGTATCAAGTGCATACTTTGTGTTGTAAAACAGGCCGCAAGGGATAACGAAACATTTTTTGAATATACGAACTGGGCATTAATCAGTAATTATTATCGGACGTATAAATTAAAAATAAACATTCACAGAAGCTTCCTCATCTGTCATATTTCTCTAAAAATTGTTCATCGATATGTGACTAGTAGATTACGGTACGGACGCTTATTTGAATCCCGTTGCATTATTGACTACTTAAAAGCAGCTTAAAACAGAATAACTTTTGTCCAATTCATTACAATGTAATTGTCTAATAAGACTAGATAAATAAATAAATAACAACAACTTAACAAGATTGTGAGCAAAACAAGCAAACGTAATAGTGAGCTAGGCTCGCAATAAAATTAAACAATAGAATCGAGGTAGTGTAGTTGCTACACGTTTATGTATCACTTATAGTAATTGCAATACTTATATAGATCAATATCTCGAATATAACTCGCCCGATCTACGTAGCGTCGGCGACGAGCGAGACTTATTTACAACATCACACTTGCGAAGTCACATTAAGAAGTTTTTACGGATTTTATCGCGTATATTAACTTATCTTGTATTCCGGAAGTATCGAGCACTTTAAAGCATGGTCACGGAGGGGACTGAGGTGCTTGTCCCTATGTCATAGTTAATCTTAGGCACGACTATGGGTGCTGTAAAGTGCTCGATACGTCGGGAATATAAAATAAGTTAATATACGCGATAAAATTCGTAAAAACTAGCTTTATTTAATTGTGTAATGTTCACGTAAATATAAGAAACCATCACATTTAGAAGTCTGTCATATAAAAACTTTACGAAGGTAACCTAACTATCTATATTTATCAATCGTTATACAAAATATTTTTATGTGCTCTCTCCAAGCTTAGCACTACGAGAATACCGAAAAGATTACTATCTTAATCTGAGGACCGTTAGGGTTCCTTGTGGAGCTCCACTAGCTGTTAGTCACTAATTCGCTTTACTAAATCACGTTTAATTACTCTCTATAAAATCTATGCTGTAAACATTGTAAATGCTTAAATGTTTCAGTTTTTTTTTCATCTAATTTCGATGGAGTTGCCTAATATTGTTCCGATTTAGCGACAGCGACACGGTCGTGGTGGACTGTGAGCGGTTAACGGAGCGTAATGCATCTCGCTGACAAAACATTTTACGATATAAAGACTTCAAGTCTCTAATGCATAGAAATTGTCCATTTCCTGATCAAACAAAAATCAGCCAAGTTTGTGGCGATACATTGTCAATTTTTTTTTTCAATTAGACGGTGTGAGGTCACAGATATGATCAAGTGAGGGGTTGGTTACAGTGAGTGCGTTTTGTTTTGATATTCAGCTGTCGCGTGGGGCCTGTCATCGGATCTCTCGACCTTTTCATAAGGCTTTTCGAGTTTTGGCCTTTTCGGCTCGGCGTCGAGTGGCCGGTGCGACTTCATGTGCGCGCTACGACTTTTAACTTTGTTAAATACTCTGAAACATAATACGGTATAACTATTAAAACAGCAAATGAAATTAAAGTGAGGCAAAAGAAAAAAAAAAAGAAAAAAGCAGAGATAGCTAAAGCGAGGCATTAAAAAGCGTCAAAACAGGAAACCTATATATACAGCATTACCTCATATCTACTAATTTTGGTTATAAATGACATAATACGCATCGATTATCTAATAAAAATACTATGTTACATTTACATCGATTCATACTTATATATATAGCTGAATGAATTTCTCGAAATCGGTATAAACTCCACAAAATAACATACAATGGTATATAGCTAAAAACTATAAAGATAGTATTTTTCACTCATTATATTGGAATTTTTGTTTCCATCCTCTTACTAAGAAACTGCAATGAATAGGCCGTAATACATTATCCCATATACAAAGATATCTAAATGATAAAAACATTAAAACATTACATGCAGTTAACATCAATAACATTAAGACACAAACTCCGATTCAAGAAATGTCGTAAGCCTAAACAAAACTTTAGAATTCTCCTCAACCAGCCTATATTATAATTTAATACTTAAACATTATAATCGGTTCTCAATTTAAAACACTATTGTAGGTAAGAAATATTAAATATTAATCTCTTATTTAGTAAAGCATGCGTAATTTATGTGAAACGATGTGAACGCGAAAAATTTATGTAAATAGTGAAATACATGATCTTGGGACAGATTTCCTTTACAAAGTTTCACTTAAATCGCGCGTATTTGCTGTCGATAGCGAGCTTGGAAAGCAGTATGCTATGTATGCTGGCGTGCTCCGGGGTGGCCACTTACTTTCCGCAAATCTTGCACGGATATTCCTCTCCCTCGTAAGAAGTTGGTGACGATGTACACGAAGCCGGCCCGTGCATAATCTGCGCTACTGAACCCTGGACATGGACAAGTCGACAGTTTTAGAATGGTAGTTCTCACTCAATCTCCACTGTGTCTGAAGACATAATGCTTGTAAACCAGGGTGTGGCAGTGCTTACTTGAGACGAGGCCAGCGGGTCCATGCTCCAGCTTCGCAAGTACAGCGGCTTGTAGTCTTTGGTCACTTTCTTCCAGAAATAGTAGAACTGCACGCATTGCTTTGAATCCTTTGTTCTTATCTGAACAAATAATTTAAAATCAAAAATTTTGTACAACCGACTTCATTGAAATCATACATAAAAAAATATACAATCGAATTGAGTCTAAATCGTCTAAACACGTATTTTATAATAATGTATACTTTATAAATATTATTTATTTATTTATTTATACACTTTATTGTACTAAAGGCAGGGTTATATTGCGATAACTGGCCAAATTTTGGTTCAGAATAAGTAATATAGCCAAATGGCGAAAAAAATTAATTTAAAAAATTTCAAATTTGTCCTATTTAGCTTTTAAATTCAAAACGCGTGGTAAATACATTATTTTAACTATTTTTATTGCGCACATATTCGTAAGGGTCGATCGGTAGGCAAAAACGTTGTTGCCCATAAATCACATTCAATTTGGGATAATTTCAAATAAACGTAGAAGCTTTATTTACTCATATTTTCAAAAACTGCAACAATGGTATATCATTATTTATATATTTGAACTTAAGTTTAATATTTGAAAAATAACCCTGTATAATTCTCACGAAAGAAAATGTTATTGCGCTAAATTAGCTATTAGAAACAGGTTTCATGTGCATAAATAATAATAAATTGTATATTGGACATACCAGCTGCGAAATTCTGAAGAAATCCTTGTCGTAGTGTCCGAGTCCGGCTAAGAAAGCTTCAACTTCGTCCGGTGTCCACCGCGACTCGTGCTGCGAGGGAGCGGCGGGCCGCGACATGAGGCGCAACGTTGCTGCCCTGATATCGCCACCACATTCGCCAAGAGTCTGAAGGGCGAACTCTCTTGTGTGTCCACCGACCGGCATTGCCGCGCACATCGCCAGCTCCATAAACATGCGTACTAAAATATTGTTAATTTTAAACTTGGTTGTTAAGTAAACAGAAAAAACTTTAATCTAGAGAATCTTGTTCTCTGATTCAAATGGAAAATTATGTAGATAATTAAATATTTTACGCTTAAATAGTTTTAACGTGTGGTGGCAGTGTAAGAATATCCACTACCCAAATCGTTCCGTTAGGTCGTTAGATGCGACGGAGGAAAACCAAATAGGCAGCATCTTCTTAATAAAAACTAAAAAATAAATAAATTGCGGTTGTCAATCCGCGCGCCAAGTATAGCATATATCCCTCTTATGAGGCAATCTATGGGAGAGGCCTATGGTCAGCAGTGGATTTTAGGCTGTAACTGTAACGGTAACTATAACGGTAACCGTAACGGTAACCGTAACGCTAACCGTAACGGTAACTGTAACGGTAGCTGTAACGGTAACTGTAACAGTAACTGTAACAGTAACTGTAACGGTAACTGTAACGGTAACAGTACCGGTAACTGTAACAGTAACTGTAACAGTAACTGTAACGGTAACTGTAACGGTAACAGTACCGGTAACTGTAAAGGTAACTATAACGGTAACTGTAAAGGTAAAAAGTGAAATCACACAACGCATTGCAGTTGCGGTGCGATACCGTACCTCAATGATTAAACCACGCAATACTGTAACGCAATGTAGCTTTGCTACGGCACCGCATCAGCAATATTTTTTATTTTTATTTATTAGGATATATAAACAAATGTAAATATAGTATGATTTAAAGAATCAAAATTATAAACTATAAATACCATGGGGTATTAGAGGCGCTAAGGTTATTTCGTTATCACTCTTATGTTGCAAGGCATCACACCGTACATTATGTTATGTTCCGTATTTTTGCATGAAGGACGCTGCAACTGTTCCTAGTATATTTTAGCTTGCATAGAAATTAGATTTTGAATTATCGATTTAGATCAGACTAAATTTGTTAGATAGTTAATTGGTATAAGTAGTTACCAATTTATAATACGGCATTTAAAGACAAATTTTGCTGGTTTTTATCTTGGGATGTCCAGAGAGTTCAGAGATGTAGAGAGTTCATTAGAAATTTATATAACAGCCTATATTGACATTAATTGTAGGAAAAGTATTAAATATATATCGAATCATACCTTCGTTATCGTCAAGAGCATCGTTAATGCCTGGGTCCCAAAGCAGCTGCTCCGGTGCTTTATGCAAGTCTATGCGGTCATTGCATAGTTCTGGTATATTGGCTTGGTAATCGATACCAATATTAATTTGGGGCGGACGGGTTTCTTCAAGGTGTGCTATCACGTCGCTTTCCGTACTCGAAAGTCCTAAAATAACATGACATTATTAATTACAGTTTAGAGGTTCTATAACAATCGTCTCCTCCCGTGGATGTGGTAAGCGCAGACTATGGAAAATGCCAGGTAGATCTTATGGCTTCCGACAGATGGCGGTATATCCAAGTTGATTACGCCAGACTTAAAAATACCGAGAACGCTGATGTGGAATACTGCCAAAGGTGGAAAACGTCTGCGTACTGTGATTGTCACTCCTGTCAAGCGTGGTGATAGTCGCAAATCTTCTCTTAAAGAAAGAGGTACATGTTTAACAGTAGGCTATTACGGGCTTGTAAAGACGAAGTAGATTGTAATGAAAAAAGAACAATTTTCGGGTCTAGTTAGTTTTAAAAACGTTAAAACTGTTATAAAATTGTATGTTATAAAATATTTAGATTGAATTTTAGATAGTGTTAACGGTTATAATAAGATTTTTAGAAGGCCAGATGAATCTAAAAAACTTAAAAAAAGATCATAAAGTATAGGTTATGATAGACTGCGGCTGGTGCGACTACGCGACACGTTCATATTACGCCAACTGTTCAGTGTTCATTGATGCAGAACGACGTTGTAAACTCTCGAATATTTCTTTAAAAAAAAATATTAAATATGCTAAGAAAATGGGTCTTTTCAATGGTTTGGAATAGAAGTGACAAGAGTGCTGGGATTCAAATTATACGAACAGATTTGCTACTATCGTTAGAATTATGATGAGCCTACTGGAGAAGGTAGTATATGAGAGGGGGGGCCCTCTCATATGCTACATAAAGTCGTAATACCATTTAGAAGTCGCTCTAAAATGCGCTTTCTGTAAGGGGTCTACTACGCGGGAAACTTTCTACAGTAACATTGTTAGAATACAAACCATTCATCAGTTCTATGAGGAGTCCTGAGCCGTCTCTATCAGGTGGCAGTATAGGCTGCGGTGTATAGTGTGCGGTGGCGCGGCGCATGCGCGTGCGGTACGGGCCGGCCGGGGACGCGCGCCGCTTGCGTCGTTGGGGCGACGCGGGAACGCTGCAAGGACTCAGAAACACCGCCGGTACAATGTCTCGGCCTTCCACACATACCTGTGAAATGATTACTTTACATTTATGGTCCTGTCATATGTCTAAAATTTAAATAATTCAGCTCCTGAGGTTTCAGAATAACTGTTTCGGTGCATGGATGCGTAAGAGAATCCATCACTCTATTTTAATCCGTGGGTGTCGTAAGAAGCAGCTGTGAAAATTGGCAGAAATTTAATGGCTTAATTTAAATGGTGATACAACCATATCATTTACTCCAAATGCGTTATATATACACCGGCGAAAGGGGCGTCGTCAAAGATGTTAAGTGTCCGTTACTGGGATTGTCAATCTGCAAGAAAAATTCTGCCACAACTGCTATTTGTTTTGTACATAATATGCTGACTTAAACTTAATTATTTAGCATCAAGTCAAACCTTCGTGGTTTATAGATGTATATCAGTATAATTTTATTGATCTGATAAATAAATTTAAAAAAAATTCTAATTGTAAGCAGACACATATCATTCGGCGAAGATCACACTCAGTATTCTCGCGTAATATGAAAGCGAGATTACATATTATATATTAAGCCGACTGTTGATCCCCTGAGATCAGCTAAAAAAATAATGTTATGTTTCATTTCATATCTTAATTTTGTTGTAGACATAGAAAACTCGTGCAACATTTATAAATGAATTTGTATCACATAAAGCGAATTTTTTTTGAAAATCCCCTTAATACCGGCCCACGTGTTTTCAGGAGAAGATCATTATTTTGAGTAAAATGTAATATATAAAAATTAATTTTTGTTTGTTCGTATTTTATGCGCTGCCATACCTTTCATCAGAATGTGGTAAAATGTTGTGAACTTATTGTTGGCACTTGCGCGAAGTTTATAGGCATAGTGCAATTAAATTACAGTAGGTGGCGCATGTATCGTACCGACAAATTTATTTTAAAGTTATACCTATATCATTCAATTTCAATTAATGTATTATCATTCCTAATTAAACTATATAACTCTTTCAAATTTAAAGCGACATTTCCACAGTTGTTTCTTCTCTGGTAGTAACGCGCGAGGAACCAGCTAGTATATAATAATTATCTTTTTCCGTTTTATTCTGATTGATAACTCATTAGTCGAAATATATTTTTTTTAAAAAAAATACTAGTAATGCTATTAAATATTACTAATATTCCCTTTAACCACTTCTGGTAAGCTTAAAGTGCTTGTGTTAGAAGTGGTTCACGACAGTAGTCGAATGGTGGATTCGAACCCACGATCTTTCGAGTTCGCGGTCCGAGCCCTGCCATTAGGCTACTGACGCTTCAGTAGTTATTTCCCGGACATGCAGAGTTTGTGAAATATCTTCACCTCACATCGTGATACTGGAGTTTCTCTGACATGCAGAATTTTTGAAATATCTTCACCTCATATCGTGATACTGGAGTTTCTCTGACATGCAGAGTTTTTGAAATATCTTCACCTCATATCGTGATACTGGAGTTTCTCTGACATGCAGAGTTTTTGAAATATCTTCACGTCATTAGTGATACTGGGAAATTGAAAAAGGCCGGCAACGCATCTGCGATTCCCCTGGTTCCCCTGGTGTTGCAGTTGTTCATGGGCGGCGGTACTCACTAACCATCAGGTGAGCCACATGCTCGTTTGTCCCCTCTCCTATAAAAAAAAGAACTTTACCTGTAATGAAGAAGTATCTTGCTGCCATGGATGCATTGGTGCAGAAGAAGACCCCATTCGATGTTGGCGACGAAAGTGCCTTTGGTGTGAAAAATCACGCGGGCTACTCGACAGTAAAGGATCTTCCGAATTTAACATAATACGGCGTGGTGTAGGAGTAGGCTCCAGTGTGTAGGCATCTAACGATCTACATTCTTCTGGCAGTACTTCCTCTAACGCTTCTTCCACCTTCAAAAATTAAAGCGTTAGTTAAATTATTATTATTTATATCTAAATTTAGTTATATTATGAGATAGGTATATTGTACTTTACCTCTTCTTGACTGGACATTGTAGCCGTAAAGAAAGCAGCTGATAAAGGTGACGAGACACGTGGCACTGAATGCGCAGGTGAGTGAGCATCGTGGGATGCTGGGGGTGTAGGATAAGCAAGTCCAGGTGATGGTTCTGGTTGAGTAGAATAGTTTCCACCCGGCGAGTTTGCATTATAAGCGAGCCCGGGAGAATCCCCTGTTGAGTAGGATAGGCATGGCGAACTCTCTGCGTAACCAATACCTGGTGATGGTACAGGTGATCCACCATGACTAGCTCCAAAATCAGCTAAGGATTCGGGCAAAGGTGAGTTTAACACGGCAGCGAGACGCCGACTGGACGGGAACGTAACGGGCGATCGCTCTCGTATAATAGAAGCTGCTACGGTTGCGTAGTCTTCTAACGCAGCGAGCTCCTCCAATTGCTCTGGTGTTGTTGCAAATTGAAAAGTATCATCGTTAAGGGCTGGAGAAAAGTATCCATCGTCTGAATTAAATGATACACCAAATAGGTCCGGGCGAAATGTAAATTCTTGATGAGGTGATGATTGTCCGGGGTCAGAAGATGAACGTTTTACAACCTGTAACAACAAAAATGGTTATTTAAGTTATTTTCAATTTGGAATGAGTTGATGTAATAACAAATATTATAATAGAATAGTTACGTGCCTTAGTGTTCCCTTTCTTTAATAATTCAATGAGAGTAGAGTCTTTCGTAGCCGTATTACTAGTCGCGACATTCGTAGCTACTGTTATTACTGATGGGGTACGTGGAGGTGCGAATTGTGTGGATGTTATTGGGGAAGCCGGTGAAGCTGTAGATGTACGGATCGTTGACAACGGTGGAGGTGCTGGAGCAACAAAACTCGCTCGAGTCGTGACTGTGTCGGCACTAGTACCTGCAATGAAAAACATTTTGGGAAGATAAGGTATTTTTGCCTTAAATAATTTGCACATTAATACTTTTATACCTGTTGTTGCGGAAGTCACAGCTCCCCGGCGGCTAATGATTTTCTCTTCAATGAGCGCTCGTACAGAAACTGACGCAGTTTGAAGCGGGGGTCCGGAAGATTCTTTCTTGTCCAATTTTTTGCTATCAGAGTCCTGTCGAAGAAAGTTTTTTTAGTTTTCATAAAACAATATAGAGTATGATTGAATAATATACACAACAACAAATTGTATAAATATTTTATTGTAAGTTACGCTTTAAAAAAGTCCCGCTGGGTTTCTTGCTGGTTCTTCCCAGGACAGAGGTTTTTTCCGAACCAGTGGTAAAAGTTAAAAATAACTTTCAATAAGAATTACATGTAATCAATGTTGAATAAAAATGATTCTATTCTATTCTATTCTATTCAACGAACCTTTTTAAAGTATCCCCCGTGTAAACGCATGTGGCCATTCAGTGCTGGTATATTTTTGAATTTGCGATGGCACAGATTGCATTCAACTGGTTTAATTTCGCCAGGTCGGGACACAATCGTAGCCGCTCCGCTACCCGCACTACTTGTTGCCCCACTTCCACTCCCGACGCTCCCTCCTTTTTGGCACCCCTGCTGCGCCTGTAAAATTAACGATGACTTTACAAAAGTTCAAAAGACTTTCAAACCTATTACGTACTTTGTAATTTCAAGGTAAACTTTCGATCTTCAGTAGCTCGTTAATATTCCAAGTTAATTAATGGATTTTGATGGACCCCGCGTAATCTGCGTTGATGTAAAAGGAAAGTCGTAATTATAGGTCAATAGAGAGCGTCGAGCAGGTAGAAAATATTTTGTATAGCTGCTTTAGGGACTTATCTGGAGAGTTTTTAAGATAAATGTAAGAGCACATCTGTAATATTTATTTGTGTAATTTCCCACAAAGCCGCAATACGCGACGGCGGTGTACTGCAGTTATTCATTTAAGTAGAATTTTAATTAGTTACGGATTTCCGTCGCACCGCGGTGGAGCCCGCTACACGACTTTCCAACATTAAGAGAGACAAAATTCATGGCATTTTTACGTGTCTGTCGTATAATTTAAACTTTTTACTATTTTTCGCAAGGCGAGAGCTCAAAAATTACAAAAAAATCGCCAAGTAAGTACGTGTAGGCGAATGCGCGAATGGTTCTATTCTGTTTTGACGATTACTGTAGGCCGCTATGTTTGTTACGAGATTTTATAATTGTTACACAAAATTCAAAACGTATGATGCTGTAACGTATAGAGATGCACTATTTTTTTTATTTTTTTTTATTTTATAGAATCGGGTCACAAACGAGCACACAGTCCACCTGATGGTAAGTGGTTACTGTGAACCATAGACATCTACATCTATCCTCAATAAAGACTCAAGATGCAGATGCGTTGTCACCCAGTAAAAAGGGTCTCCGGTTCTCTACACTCACCATACGAAACACAGTAGCGTTAAGCTGCTATTTTATGCTGGTTTTCTGTGAGAGCGTGGTCCTTCCCCGGTCGAGCCGACCCATTCGTGCTACAACCATAATATAGCTGCAGCATAGCTCTACCACGTAGAAGTACATAACAAAATTAAAAAATATTCAGTTAAACTTGAAAATTACTATTAAATATCGTCTTACATTAAAACAGTTGCAAAAATTATTAACAAACTAAAACTCAAATAAACATAGCCGAGCAATCGATTAGCAATTTGATGCTACAAGTTTAAACTTTGCAGACAGTACTAAGTACTAAACAATAATATCGGTTTTCACTACTGAATTTTCATATTTGAATTCCGATCTACCTGGATTAATTTGAAGAAGATATTTTGTTCGTTGTAGTTAATAAAGCTTTAAAAGTATGTGCAAATAAATATAAATACTGGATTTTTAACATTAGTATAATGCTAATGTTACAGTTCCAGTTCCAGTATTTATAAAATAACCAGGGTTATTTTACAATAACCGCCAAATTGCAGAGGAGGTTCATAATAAGTAATACAGGCCAATGGTGAAGAAAAACTAATTAAAAAACGCAAACTCTACCACGTAAAATGTGTTCGCTTGTCACGTTTATTTCTTTAAAAAAATATATTTCTTATCTTTTATTATGTTTATTCATTTTGCATTTAGTATGTTCATTTTTAATTACTGACAATATGGATGTGTATGTTTCTGTGTGTGTCAAAGATTCGTTCACCATTTACAGACTATATATATTCAAAAATAAAGTGTTCGAGTGTATAAACATAACAAAAAGCCTTTTCGTTACGTCTTTTATAGTATTTAAAGCTGATATTTTAACAAGCGTTCCAAATTTTCCGCATATTGACCTGGTCTGCTTTAAATTGGATGATTATTAATAAAAAGAAATATAATAGAATTTGTCAGACGCAACTTTATTATTTATGCTATTATTTCGTCATCGCAAACAATAACACTTGAATTACGCCCTCGGTGTTTAAGTAAAAATTTAAACACCTGTTTAACCAATGTTTTACAGACTGTTTTGGCTGAGCGACTTTAAATTATAGTCCCTTTTAATTCACAAAGACTTATTGAAGCTTAACTAAGTGTGGAATGAGGCGCTAGTTAATGAACATCGATGTGAGAATACCGCATATTAATAAACTGCTGTAATTTAATTATAACTTAGTTTGAATATAAGTATCGCAAAGTTTTCTGGAAGTCAAAGTTTTCGGTCGATAGTTTTGGGGTAAAAATTAGAAAGAGGCTTGTCGTTGATTTAGAAACATACAGTCAAATTACAGACATGGTTAACTCAAATTATATTAAAAAAACCAGCCAAGTGCGAGTAGGATTCGCGCACCGAGGGTTCCGAACAAATCCGTAGGTATATAAGTTTCAAATTATTAAAAATATTTTTATTATATGATGTAATTAAAAAATTTATGCTTTTCGCGATTTTTCCTTTATCTGTGTTATAATACGTTGTTTGGTACCAAATTTTAAGATTCTGAGTTCACGGGAAGTACCCTGTAGGTTTTGAGTGTCGAATATTTGCGGCATAAGTCTTTTAAATGCGTTGGCTTAGAAGTTTGATTTTTTCACAGCTCCAATGGACAGTAGACTTGAGTATTTGATATGAATTTCAGCTTGATACCTCCACGCGTTCCTGAGAAAAAGGGTCTCGACAGACAGACAGACGGACAACAAAGTGATTCTATAAGGGTTCCGTTTTTTCCTTTTGAGGTATGGAACCCTAAAAACTAATTATTAAAAGCAGCATGGTTTTCATATTTTATTCATTCGAAAGGATTTGTAAATATTTATTTCTGGATCCTGACCACAACGCCACTTACCAATTGTGAATCTAAACCATTCTCTAATCAACTTAATCACACACACAAATTCAGAATTACATCTATTACGGATCGCCGTAATGCCGTGCGAAAAATGGAATAAAACGCGCTGGTCTTGCTTTTAACTGGAGGCAAGCGGCGGTGAGGAGGAACTTGTACTTTTTCTTTTCTTGCTGGTGCCTTTTCGGTGGCTGGAGAGCGACTGCTGACCCTAGCGGCCGGCCCGTCTTTTATATGATTTGGCCGCTGCTGGCCAGCGGACCCTTGCCTCACCCCCGCGCCTATCTTTATTTATTTAATAACCTTACAAACTAATAAACATAATTCACTATATAATATTCTTATAACTACTTGTTAGACTAGGGTGTACATATCAATATTTTTACTTATTTACAGGTTTACATTATAATTTTCAGCTGCTTTAGGCGGAGAATCCTTCCCCCCGCCTCAGCACTATAAATATAAAACGTCGTGGCGCGGTGCGCGTGGCTTCATTTGCTCCGCGGCCGCGTCACGATAACATGCTCTTTGGTTACACTACTACTATTATTTTATGTGCCTAACGGCCTAATATATTTATTATATAATAAAGTAAACATTTATTATATTTAACAATTACAGTTTTCATTTGAAGACTATGCTAACTCTCCCTGTTCATACGGTGCCTTTATTTGGGAGAGTTATTGCACAGTTACAACTCAACCTTAAACTTAGTTATAATACAATCATTATTTTTTATCGTTCGATACAAGTAATACAATTATTTACACAAATTATAATTTAAATTCAACATAAGGTTGCGCTAGTTCCGCCGTATAACCCTTGCTAGTTGTCGAACCAGAGGCGTGGCCTGATAATTACACCGTCGTCATGGCTCCGCCCACCGCTCCTAGGTTGTTCAACTAGCGCCGGTTACAATAAGCATTTTCTTTCGTTTGTTTAATATTGTTGCGTCGTGCACATTCTCCCGCCGTCGCCACGCTGCGATCCCTCTGGTAGCACGACGATCTTCTTCGTTGGTCTTCTTAGTATGTGCCCACTGCCGGTGGTTACGTCCACTACTCGTACCTCTCCGTCGACGCCAGGATATACCTTACTTATTTTCCCTCTGGGCCAGGTGTTGCGTGGTAGATTGGAGTCACAAATGATGACTAGGTCTCCAATCTTCGGCGATACTCCTATGCTGCTGGGCTCCCGCCGGTGTTGGAGTAGGGGCAGGTATTCTTTAACCCATCTTCTCCAAAACACGTCGGCTAGGGCTTGAGCTCGTTTCCATTGCTGGCGGGCCGTCACGTCATTCTTGCTGAAGTGTCCCGGCGCAGGTACGTGCGAGTTGGGACCGATGAGGATGTGATTCGGCGTGATGGCTTCAGGGTCTCCTGGGTCGACTGAGACGTGTGTGAGAGGTCTGGAGTTTACAGTATTTTCGACCACGGCGAGCAGGGTTTCGTCGCTGGGATAGCGCTCGTTGAGGGTGACGCGTAGGGCTTCTTTTACGGAGCGAACCATTCGCTCCCATACGCCGCCCATGAACGGTGCTGATGGCGGTATGTACTTCCACACAATCTGTTGACACGTGGTTTCGTGCTCGAGGGCTGCAAGTGCTGCTTCGGCCATCTCCTTGTCTGCTGCCTTGAAGCACGTAGCGTTGTCACTCCATATTTCTTTTGGGCATCCTCTTCTGCTCATAAAACGCCTAAGTGCCGACACGGCTGAGTCTGCGCTCAACGAGTGGGCTACTTCTATGTGTATTGCTCGCGACGTCATGCAGGTAAATAACGCGCCATAGCGCTTTTCGCGATGTCGTCCCACTGTGACTTCTATTGGCCCGAAGTAGTCTAGTCCGGTGTATGTGAACGGACGTGCGTGATGAGCGAGGCGTGCGGACGGCAGGTTTCCTGTAGACGGTGATGCAGGCTTGGCTTTTCTTAGACGGCACGGCAGGCATCCTTTGACGACAGTTTTCACTACTGGACGTATTTTTCTTACGTACAATCTCTGTCTTAATTCATTCACAACTGTTTCTACGCCTCCGTGATGCAGCCTCTCGTGTACGTGTGCTATGTACAGGCGAGTGTATGCGTGCTTCCCGTCTAATATGGGAGGGTCGTACATGTCGTCCTCCACTTCTGATGCCGCTTTTATTCGACCTCTGAGGCGTAGGGTCCCCTCTTCATCAATGTATGTGCTCAGGTGGCCTAGTTTGTCGTCGCCTCCCGGAACACTTCCGCTGGTGATTCTCTTGAGCTCCTTCGTGAAGCTTTCCCGCTGACTGGCTTGCACCCACAGTTG